GAGGTGGCTGACACCGCCACCACTGAAGCAGCGTTTCCTTGGAGAGCGGTGGGTGTCGGGGAGGGTCGGGGCAGTGGGGACTCAGGGATGCCACTCCAGTCAAGCTGTGCTGGTGCCTGGCCGCCATCTTAGTGTGCGATGGCAGCGGAGGAGGCTGAGGTGGGACAGTCTGTGCTGGGCCCTCCTGCAAGCAGAAAGCAGAAAGCCTTTTCCTCTGTCCTAGGCCTTTGACTGAGCGATGGCATTTGATGCCATTGCCTCTGAACCAGTAAGTGCATGAGCCCATGGGGGGGGGGGGGGGGGGGGGTTTTGCCCTTAGCTAGCAAGTCTGTGCACAGCCTGGCCTGTGTGTGTGGTGGTGAGAGTCAGCAGTGTGCTGGGCACAGGCTGCAGCTTTTGAGGAACCCAGTGATAAACCAGCATGTGATGTGCCTGTAAATCACAGCAAGGAGAAGAGGAAAAGACTGGTTTTTAAGAGTATGACTTCCTTCTAAAGCTGCCTTTTTATTGTTGTGCTTGGGTGTTTTGTAATCTCCTGAGTGGCAGGAGGGCTGCTGGTAAGTTTTGTTTAAGCTTTGTATTAACAAACTGAGGCATGTCTCTCTGAAGCAGACTTCATTCTGGCACAGGGTGCTGTCTGGACTGACTTGGAAGAGGCAGTGGAGAGCCTATAGTTCAAGTCTGTGGGTTGTGGATACTTTGGGGACAGCAAAAGCCTGAACCTTCCTAACAGATGGCTGAAATGGGGCAGAACTGCTCCATTGAATCTCACTGGTCACCTCTCTGTCCTGAAGTCTTTCAGATGAGCACAGGCACAACAGAGCAAGATAGCCAGGGTAGAAAGGCCAAGGAAAGGACTCTGGGCTTGTCATAGATGCTTCATCAATCAGTAATGTAAAGGTGAGTGTCCTACTATGTCGTATGAATGGGAGTTCAGTTTGTAGTAGTTTTCTGGTCTGTTTCATCTAGTTTGGCTTTCATTAGAGAAACAGACATTTCTGGGCACTCTAACCCAAATGTAACCACCAAAGGGAGTTCAGAGGGGAGTGTGCTGACTGTCCAAGCTTCTCTTCAGCGAGCCTCGTGGAGAGAGCCGAAATAATAAATTTTTGGTGGTCATTGTTTGAGATGTGATGGACAAGGGGAGTTGAGATGGTAGGATCTACCTTAAAAAAAGAGAGGTGCTAAAAAGGGTGAGCTTGTCAGGGACCTGCTGGTCACAGAATGAAAAGGGACTGATTGTAGCTGCTACAGCAAATTCTTGCAATGTGTTTGGGGACTTGTGATATCTTTAGATTTTTTTTTTTTTAGAAGTTGTCATGATAGTACACTACTTTTAAAAGGGTTGTAGAACTAGTTTTCTTTGGTGCGTTATAGATGGAAACCTCTCAGTGCAAAGATACTACAAAAAAGATAAAATCCTTTCTCCTTACAGTGATGAGAAAGGTATTGAACAGAAGTTAGAGAGGAAGAAAACAAAATCCCTTTAAGTCAGAGGAAGAGAGGGCTGTGTTTCAGGTGTCAGAAATGCGTTACAACCAAGATATTGATTTCATAATTTAAACTTTCATTCGGTTCAGTATTACCTTCTGAGCTATTATGATTGTAAAGAAAACTTTCCAAATGAGTCTTAATATGACATGATGCATGGCTAGCTTTGAAAGGCCTAATCTAGGCAGAGTCATGCTTGTTTAACTGAAGTGATGATGCTAAATGAATGCAATTTTCTATATGGATACTTATCAGATTAGCTTGCACTTACAAATTGCAGGTGTAATTGATATGACCTGGTTTAAACTGATATAAATGTGTCTCCATAATGTGGTGGTGGTTTAAACTCATGCCACTTCTCCTTTCATATAGCTCTGTAGTCCTTAGACAGACAGTCCCATTGACAGTGCTGAGCTGCAGAGAACTTTCCTGATGAAACCAATCAGGAAGATGAAACTGGGAAGACTGGTCCATTTTGTAGCAAAATGGTGAAAATGGAATGATCTTAAGAGAGTGACAAGGATGATCAAAGATGTGGAAGACTTCTATGCAAGAAACAACTAAGCATACCAGGTCCTTTTAAGCTTGAAAACATGATTGCAAGGGGACCCTATATAGGTCTATTTACTCTGTATGCTATTTGTAATTTTAAACAAAGAATGAACATTCACTGTCAATACAAAATTAGGGCTGTCAAATGAAACTAGCAGCCAACAAGCTCAGAACAAACAGGAGGGGTTGGTTCTTCCCATAACCTGTGGCTGTGCTGTGAAACTCCTTGCCAGAGGATGTCGTAGCCCTTAAAAATATACTTGTGGCTCAGGTGACAACTGAGGAAAAAAAAAACAACATGGAAGCAAAAAAGGTGGGCTGTTAAATGCAAAGAGAGCACCCTGTGCTCAGGCAGTGCCTGAGCTGCAAAATGTTGAGTGCGTGCTTGGAGAAAGTATTGTTACGTGTATTACTGCTTCTGACAAGGCAGTGGCTGATCAGTGTCTAAAGAATAGGGGAAAGGCCAACGTAGTCTTTACTCAGTAAAGCTGTTCTTACAGGATTTTTTTGAAAAGCTGTGGGTGGTGCCACATGGTCACAGCTGTGTGCTGTCCTGCAAAGCTGCTGGGCTGAGCTGAGGCAGGGTGGGCTGACTGACTGGGTGGTCTCTGCAAGGCTGAAGGAGGAGGTTGCAGGTAGGATCCAGCCCTTTCTTCTTTACCGACACAGAGGGTTGATTTGCAGGATTTATCTTAGCCTTTGCTGGTGGATCATCCTCTATTGTGTAGTAGCTTGCCTGGTAACTATTTCGAAGGACGCTGTGGGCACAGCATCTGTGAAATGATTAGCCAGCATGCAAAATTATTCAAAGAGCATGGTGAAAATGGAAGTGTGTCCATGAACTGCAAGTTGGCATTTGAATTTAAAAAAAACTTGTCTCTGCTGGACTGATTTTAATAATCCAGCCGAATTTGTGGATGCAGGAACCACTAATTCTTCTGGAAAAGAATGGCTCAAGAGTGCTGGCAGGTGACAAGGCATGAGAAGATGGCTCAGGCAAGGTTTTTTTTTTTCTTTGCCCCCACCTCTTCAGTTGGCTTTGATCTGTTTTATGAGGGTCAGAAGATGAAAACCTCATTACCTAACACTGTTGGATGTTGACGTATGTGTGATGGCTCTTTGCCAGTATCTTAATTAGGGAATTCATAAAAGCGAAGGGTGGATGCCAGTTCTTGAAAAGCGCTTTTAGCCTTTCTGCTGGAAAGAAAGCTTTTATTAATTCATTACAAAATGTATTTAAAGGGATCCAGCTCAACTCTGTAAGCAAAGCTGCTTCTTTTTCTCTTCTCCCTTTGTCTGTGCCTTTATGTGAGCCATTTCGGGCTCCCTGCCCAAGATGGTCCCAACAAATGAGATTTGTAATAAGCATGCAAGTCAGTTTGAATTGAAATCCGCTCCAGGTCTCTTTGGTTTAAAAAGGTCTCCAGATTGTGAGTGAGTGTTGCCAGAATTCAACAGAAATGGCTCAATGCCTTGTCATACCTTGTGGAGCAAGGGAGGCATCTGGTCTTAGATCCCTGTGTGCATCCAAAGCTGCTGGGACTTGATTTTCTGGAGTGGCTCTTGAGCAGAAGGGCAGCTCTGTGTGCCCTGAGCTGCTGCCTGGATGTGAAGGACCTGTTTCATTAAAGATGTTGATGCAAGTGAAGTCCAGTGTCCTTGCCACAGGCCACATGAACCTGAGGAGTTGTCACGTGAGCTTTCTGCGTGCTGCACTTCAGCTCTGTCCTAGAGGATCCCCTTCATGGAAGGGAGAGCCGGGGCAGTAAGGGTTCATCTTTGCAATTTATAAGCCACCGTGCTGAGATTGTCACTGAAAAGGTAAGCCAGTGTGAAGTGCAGTGATGGTTCAGCTAAGTGAGCTTGGGTCTTTTTTTTCACACAGGCTTCCCATACACCTAGGTGCATATCCCAACTAACCTTCTCGTGTATTAGTTAGTAGGAGGGAAAGCTTTCCATCCACAGCAGCTCAGGTGCGTACCTGTGTCTAGGATTGCTCTCGTGGAGAGCTGCTGCAGGGAACTATGCCAAAGCTCTACAGGTTTTCTTGTGCTACAGCTTTACAAACTATGCCCCCCTGGGAGTTTCCTGAGCAACCCAGATAGTAATCAGTAATTCCCAGGCATTACTCTGATTTCTCCCTGTGCTTATTTTCTATTTCTCTCTTTCCTTTGCCTTACAGTGAAGAGTTACTTGGATGGCTGAGTTGCTGAGAGACTCCTAGCTTGCAGGAACAGATCCCAAATCCCAAGTGAGGCAGTGGCACTGTCATATTAAGATAGCGCTCTGCCCATAGTTTGGGTCAGTGTCTGAGGCTCCTTATGTAAATGAGTCACCTCTGGGAGGCAGATAGTACTGCCCTAATTTACAAGTAGGGAAACTGAGGCACAGTAAATGGAAAACACCTGGGAATCCTCACTCTCATCCTTCCTTACAACCCCTAATGTCCCAGACTAACCCGAAGAAAAGAAATAGTGAGATTCTGGAGGAAAAATATTTTGTTCATTCAGCAATGTGTTCCTCCTTCCTTCCTTTTTTTTTTTTTTGGATTATTTTCTGTCCCTTGTGCCCCCAGCTCAGCAAAGCTGATGGTGCAGTTCTAGGGCATGTGGTTTATTAGGAAATTATTACTCTCCAGCAGGGGACCCAAGCTTTGGTTTTGATTTAAGAGCAGTAAAACCAGTTGAAACTTTTAAAGTATTATGTGGAATCTGGAGATTTTTAGTCAGCAGAAAGTAAAAGCAGAGTTGGGCAGAATATCCTCTTGTTATGTCTCATGAAATGACGGAAGTATGGGCAGAGAATGTACTAGCAAGAGCAACTGCAAACTGAGCAGTAGGAGCAGTTTTGGAGGAGAGGATAGGAAGTGCAGTGATGTGGGTAATTTAGTGGTGGGGCTGGCAGCTGACTAACCAAAGCTCTCATTAAATTGTATTATTTAACATGTGTTTTAAACATGTTTCCAGAGAAGGCATGATGCATTTTAATAACTTTATTGGCTAAGGAGAAGCCAGGTAACACGTGCTGAAGTACTTCTTCCTCTGTGTGTATGTGAGGGTTTTCAACAGATCAGGGAGCAGAGACACAGTCATTTGCAAGTGATGGGAACTGGTGAGGGAGACAGCCATTCTCAAATTGGACTGGATGGACTGCCCACCTCCACTCTGCTGCACTCTGCTGTTAGATTAACTTGCTGATAAGCGTGGTTGGAGCTGACTTGGGTGAAGCCCTTGGTTGGCCCTGAAGCAGACTGGGGTAATGCATTCCACTGACTGAGCTATAGTGGATGACAATTGTCTTTGCCAGGACCTAATGCATTTTCAGCTAACTTGCTTCAAAAATATCTGTGTCTCTGTCCAGGCAGACACAGGCAGTGCCAAACAAAGAAGCACCGTTCCCTGTGCTCTGGGATGTGCCTTGGTGCTCCCCTTGGGCTTGGGGGAAGCTGTGCAGGTGCCTATGGGGAGCGTGGCATCTCAACAGCCCTGGCAGTTGCCTCATGACAGGGGACTTTGAAATTGCTATCTGGTAAGATGCAAAGATTTGAGCCTTGTTACATGTGTCCCCTTCCCCAGCTCTGCTGTGCTCCTTGCAGTGAGACTATTCAGGTGACTGGCTAAACTCCTTTTTGCAGTCTGCTTTGTTCTCCTCTTTATGTGAAGCCTCTTCTCCCATTCTGCTTATTTATAATGCTTGCCTGCCTTTCCTGAGCAGAAGGTGTGAGATTGCTAATGAGCTCAGGCCAGAACTGATCCCCAAAGCAGCAATAATTAGGGATCACTACCTTTGATTTTGTTTCCCATATCACTGTTTATGGGAGCGTTTGTGCTCTGGGCCACCTCTGAGGCTGGTGTCCAGGCAGCTGGTGTCTCATTCCACCTCAGTACTTTACCTGGGACTGTGCTGCCTTTTAGCTTCTGTTTTTTGAAGGCTGCCACCACGAAGGAGCCGTGCTGCCAGCAATCTAGCTGGCCTTGGCCTTGCTTGGAGAATCAGACACAACAGGAGTGTAGTGCTAAGTAGCTACAAAGTGGTCATTGCCTCCTCAGGGCATCAAGGCCGTGGGTTTTTTTCAGGTTAGGATGTTGTGTTTGTATTATCTGATTAGTCCCACTGTTTCCCTCCTGGAAGCAAGCCTGAAAGACAGTTTTCCTAAAGATGTCTACACTCTGGTTGCCAGGCAGAAAAGAGGAATGATTCCCAGGAAAACTGTTGTCTATGGTAGGATTCCTTCCTGGGCAATCCATTTGCACACAAGTAGATCAAACCTCTTGTACTTATCCACAGTTACTCCCCTCTACAGGAAGACATAGCCGGGGGCGGGGGGGGCAGCTGCTAGGAAACCTGATGAGGAGACACAAGATGATGAGCAGTGTTTTTCTGCATGTTGCTGCTAGAACTTGTTGCAGGTGAAAGGCATGCAGGCAGGGTGGAGGTGGTGGCAAATGCTCTCTTGAGCATACTATGCAGACTGCTATTGCTGTTGTAGATTTAGTTGGGTAAAAGAGATAGTAGGGTAGGTATCAGTGTTTCCCCTTTGTCTCCACTTCACCCAAACATATACCTGAGGGTGCTTTGTAGTCATGTCCCATGAACTTCTGCACCTGTTCACAGCACTAAATTAAGACTTTGTCCCTCAGGCTTTGGACAAGGCCAGTCTCTCTCATTTTATCCTCTTTTAATTGCATAAGGATGCCTTAGATTGCATCTTTGCTTGTGGGGCCACATGCAAAGAAACTAGAACAGGCTGAAGCAGGGTCAGATCTGAGCAAAAAGGTGCTGGCCAGCCACACAAGTGGGAGTGTTAGAGCTGGCTTGGCTGTGTCTGGGATTACAATGTCACATTATACCTGGGGTATAATAGAGACTGATCTGGGAGGTGATGGGCTCTCTGTGCTGTGATCTCTACATAGAGCTGGGGCTGTTCCTCTCTTGATTTAGGGAGGAAGGAGGTGGAGTGGCTGAGCTGCCACCCTTCCCATCTGAGTGGGGATGGATCCGTGTTAGCTGGGAGAGGAAGTGACGGTGACTGGTGTGTTTTTCAGATTGATGGACTGGAGGAGAAGCTGGCACGCTGCAGACAGAGCATGGAGGAGGTGGATCTTAAGCTGCGCAGGGAGAAGCTCAGCCCTGAAGGAAGGTATTGGTGACCACCTTCTTTCACAGCTGTGGCTGTGCACTTCAGCTAGCTGTCACCCTGCTGTAGTACTGAGCAATGGCTCTTGAAGGGATGGGGATGTGTGGCTCCTCATGACAAGATTCTTCCCCCAGCTTGGAGCTTACTTGGGGAACTTGCCAGGGTGAGTTCAGTGATACATGGAGAGAGCTTCATCTTATCAACAGCCTCACTCACCAACCTGCACCACAACTAGCCAGGCAGTGCCCAAAACTTGCCAGTTCATTTGCAGAGCTGGCTCCTAGCCTGCTACGAAACAGCTCTGTGATTCTGGCAAAGGTTCACTGCATGCTGCTACTCCAGCCTCTCTGAAGCTGACCGAGTTCAATCAGAGGAGACGTGCAGCTCCTGAGGGCCAAACCAGGCTGGGATGCAACTGCAAAAGAGGCTGAGGAAAACTATCTGTGCTTGGATGTAGGGATGCAGTGACACACTGGCTTTCCTTGGGAAAGGGAAGAGGGACAATCCCCCTGAAATCTGTCACTGGTATGGAAGAGGCAACTCTAGGCTTCTAGAGCTGGGACTCAGGCAAGGACTTTGACCTGCATTTTGTAGGAGACACAGGCAGAACCTGCTATTTCTCTAGAGTGTGACGCAAGAGATCCTAGATCTCCCAGCTGATTCTGCTATCTCTCTGCTTGAGGATATTGTTCCAGTTACCAGCATCCTACTGCTGTGCTCCTAGCAAGAAAGGCTGGGAAGCTCAATCGTAGGCCCAGGGAGCAGTCCTGTTGGTCCTGGTGTCTGCTTTACAGTACTGTCCTACAGAACCCAGTTAGAAATCATCCTAGCAGTGGTGGTATCTCCACACCCTGATACTTACCAACCTCAACCTAACTTCTTTGTTCCTCCTTTCCACTCTCTCTCTCCCCCTCTCCCTGCCTCCTCCTGTCCTTTACTGGGGTTTTATATCCCCATCCATATTTGAGCAGGGTTCTGTCTCCTCCTGTCACTTATCTCTTTAACTCCTCATCTCAACAGTCCTTTCCTAGGCCTACATTCTTCTTATGTTTACTGTCTGTATTCTTTATCTGGTACTTAGGTGGCCAACAACCAAGCCTACAGTTGTGGTAACTTGACAGGATAGAATATATCTGTATGATTTTTCTCTGAAATATAGGCTCTAGAGCAAAGAAGTAGGAATAGATATTCCTGGGGCCTTTTCTGAATTTTATAACTAACTTGGATGGAGATGGAAACAGAAATTCCGTTGCCCTAATCCAGACCATTCAAAAAAACCCTGGAGGAAGGTACCATAGTCAGAATTACTGATTCAGTGAGTAGTAAACAAAGGAGAGCTCTGGTTTCCCATTTTGAAGTTCAGTTGTCATGGTTTCTTCATATCTCATTCGCAAAGCCTCTTCCCTTGACTCTCCTCACAAGGCCAGTTTCTAAGTAAGTGCCAGCTCGGTCATGTTGGTAAATCTGTCTTCTCACTTCCTCCTGGCTGCACTCCACACTGCCTTTCCCCAATTGCCTTTAAGAGCCCTTTCCTCTGCTGCTCTGATGTTGCTCGCTTTCTTGCCATCCCTTACTTAACTAGCTGTACGGATGGATTTGGATCTCTTTCCTCCTACAGGTTCTTGCTCTGCCCCAAGGGGAACAACAAACTCTGTTACACTTAAGCCTTCTCTGTCTGCTCTGAACCAAGAGATAATTGGTTAGTGCATGTTTGTTTATATGCACACAGTCTGAAAGGAATGACCGTGTCCTCACTACCGTAATGGAAACGCTGCTGCTTTCAGGCAATTTGTTTTGCATTTATATTTTAAACTGTATATTAATTAATCATCTTGTGCAGTTTAAGACAAGGGCTGGGTTGGCCTGACTTAATTGTTATTATTCTGAGCCTGTGGTCTAATAACAGGTGGTTTAACTGGTTGTTACTGGGCTTGGATTCAGCATCTCTTCCCTTGCACAGCTGGGGGTTTCTAAACTGTCACCTCTCTGCAGTGAAGGGCAAGGGGCTCGTTCTGTGAGCAGCATCCCCGGCAGTGGGACAGTCTCTCTTCCATCACGTAAGCAAAGAAATAGGCTGTGTTGTGCCTCGCAGGTAATGAACTCCTCTTCTCATTACAGAAAGTCACTGGAGAGAGAGAGAAACTTACTAATGACCAAAGCTGACAACTATGGTAAGAGCTTTATTAAAAATGGCCCCTCTGGGATGGATGGGATCAGTGCTGCAGCTTAGCTTCATCTCCAAGCTCCTGCCACCTCTGCCTTTGAATTTAGGTTCAACCGAAGGGAGCTAGAGTGAGGGAAACCTAGTCAGCATATTATAATAAGAGTCTGGATCCTCTTGCTTGAGCTGTGCTATCATAGGGGAAAAAAAAAAGCATCAGCTAATGAGGTGGGAAAGCTGTTCCTTTCACATACCCCAAATTACCAGTCTTTAGATAATCTTAGCCAACAGAGTGCCTTTTAACATCCCACCCCTCCTTTTAGTTTTTGTGGGGGTTTTTTTTGTTGGTTTTTTTTTCCTTTTTTAATAGAGGCTTGCTAAGCAAGATGGCAAGTGCTATCTGGAGTGTAGCAAAGTATACCTTCCTTGGGGAAGATTCTTACTGCATAAGTTTCTGGGGCCATTCAGCACACAACCATAGGGATTCACACTGATGAGCAACCTGCGATTCTAGAGAGCCAGGGTCTTCCCTTGCTGCAAGTCCTGCTGTAGACAGTTAAAATGGGAGTCCTTCTGAGCTACCACACAGCACTTTCATCCTGCTGGGGATGCTGCTTTGCACGTCTTCCGGCTCCTGGTGTTGATCATTGTGCTAACTGCTTGACAGCGGTCTGAAGCAACGCAAGCACCAGAGCTCAGACAAGGGAAAGCAAGCACAGTTTTCTTTTAGGCCTGGAGAATTGAAAGCTGGGGTAGAGCCAGCAAATTTGTAATTTTAACTCATGTTAAAGGACTGTTTCCAGAAGACTAACAGTTATTGTAAACAGATGCAAAGCTGTTCCCTAAGGGCCTGCTACTAGAGATGGCAGAAGACTGCACATCACTGCCACCCTTTTACCAGCAGTCAGCCATCACTGCTAGCATCAACTGAGGATTCTGACAGGCTGCTCACACAGCAGCAACAGCCTCACCTAATGGTGATGGCTGCTCCTCCTGGAACAGAACAGATGATAGTGCATGTGCACACAGTTTTTTTAGATCACTGCTACAGCCTCTGATTAAATCTCTGTTTACTCCAGCTGACACACTTGAGGCCATGAACTGCAGTCGCTGACAATGGCATTGCTCCATCAGTTTAAGCTGGCACTGCTGTGCTCAGGGTTATGTGACCTCTTGCTTCCACTGTAGCGTTGCAGATTCAAGCAGTTTGCTCTGTGACTGCACAAGAATGCTTGTACTACATGAAGAATGTGGGGCAGAAAGAACAGCTCAAAGCCTCTCTTGATACCAGCACCAGTTTGGGAACCTGCAGCACCAGGGCTTTTTTGCTGGAGGCTGCTGCTGCAGAGGTAGTAACTGGTGTGGTCACTGCAGCTGAATTCAGCAGCAGGAGCAGCCTGGCTTTAGAGACAGTCTGCACCCAGCCTTGCCTGGAAAAACAATTATTGCGGTTTGGGCATGCAGTGTGTAATGCTGTAGGCCTCACTTCTTGCCTATACCATCCAGCGAAGTTTTGTGCAACAGAACAGAAATGGAGAGCAGCAGAACTCCATGCTTTTGGGTAGCCACTTCCTTCCTCTCTCTGCATCTGTGTTTCTTCTTTTGTAAACCAGGGCCAGGAAAAATGTTTCTACAAAGCAGCAGCAGACCCCAAAAGAATGAGTGTCCAAGCTCAGACCTGTTCCACACTTATCCTTCTGAGGCACAAGAGAACCCAGATTCTGCAACATTCAAAACTGGCCACAGTTGTATTTAAGTAAATTTAAGTACTGGGAAAAGGTACAAGGCTGTTCTGTCTAGAAGATAGTAGAAATAGCTCTCTACCCTCTTCTTTCCCTTAGGGAGCTAGCAATTATTCTAATGGCCCATTCTGTCCTTAGGAGGCCCCCAGAACAAGATCACTTGCAAACAGGAACGGGTCTGGCCCTGAAGCAGTCCCAAGCACAGCTACTGAGACTGACAGGATGGGAGTCAGCAAATGAAAGGGTTCCTGCTAGTCTACTTCCTGCTCAGCACATCTTCTAATTGGTAGCTTTGCATACTGATCCCAAAGGTAGCATTGTGCTTTTAGGACAGTTTTAAAAGGAGATGTAGCCACAACACACAGAACATTCACAGGCAGGGCTTTTGTTTGTTTCCCAGAAAAAGAACTGAGTGTGCTTCGTAAGGAAAATCGCAAGAATGCTGCCCTTGCTGTGGCCATGGGGTTGCTGATTGCTCTTATTTACGCCTGCTGGACGATGTGATTGCACTCAAGAATTCTCCCTGCTGACCAAATGACTCTCCTGCAAGGACCTCTTCCTCCTCTCACTACTGTGCCTCCCCCAAGGGTGAGGATCAGCATTTCAAATTGCTGTTCTCGTTTATCCTCTCCAGGCCTCGTTGTAGGGAAGCTTTTTCTCTGAGAATTGGGGGCAACAGGAGACAAACCAGAAATCACAGTACACTTGCGGTTAGCAGTAAGGTCAAGCAGAGCTCGAGGTGGTACTGTCTTAACTCAAATGCAGTCAAGACCATCCAGCCTGATGCAGGAAGGCAATACATTCTCCCTTTTGAAGAGGGCCTCTGTGGTTGCAGACGAGTGCTCTCTGCCCAGCCCAGTCAGAATACATGCCACCTTCTTGGTGACAGCCGTAAGCCAAAGGGACACAGAGCTCTTTGAATCAAAGGGTAACATGGGTATTGTGACCTAAAGACTCACCTGTTCCCAGAGCTGAGCTAAACAAAGATGTTTCCTCTTCCACACTGACTTACAGGACCAAAGGAATCCTACCCCCACAAAAACAGACAGGAGGTAGGTATTGCTTTCTGCAAGCAGGTAGCATCCAACTTGAGATCTGAGTGGTTGAGCTTTGAGAAGATCTACCTACCTCTCCAGTGCATCAGAGCTTGGTAGCCGTTTTGTGCCTCTGAGAATCAACACTCACAGAAGAGATTTTCTTACCAACTCCCAGGGATGGAAGTGCCTCTGCAGGGCTTTCAATAAAGTAATTTGACCTTGTAACTTCCTGATTTTTGTTTTTCCACCTCATGTTTTGTAACATGCCCCTCAGCCCCTGCTTTATTCTCATCCAACGCTCCCCGCTGGCACGCATTGCACCACCGTAAGCCTAGACTGGGTTTGTGCTTGGCATCCCTGGTCAGCGAGGTCTCACCGGGTTATTGGTCTGCTGTGGCCTGGAATCTACTTGAAAAGCAGCCTGGCATGCTGCAGAGGAGTGCTGGAGACTGTCCCCTGCAGTTCCCTTATTCTGATGCAGGGACATACACTAGGTAGCCATCAGCATGCTGTAACTTGCAAGGAAAGCCTTTAAAAGGGGACTGCCTTGAAAATTTAACTGTGCAAGGCATTTTCTCTGTCTCCACGCTGACACACATTGCTGGCCAGAATTTTGTGGGAAGCAAAGTAAACAAGCACTGTTGTGAACTAAAGGGGCTGTATTGGTTAATAGAGACAATGAAAGCAGAGAAGTCAACACAAAATGATACACAGCCTAGTAACAATACATTGTGCAATTAATGTACATAAACATTCCCTTCAGCAAGACCTTCCTTACCCCCCTTCCCAACATAATCCCTCCCTATTTACCGTGCAGCAGGGAAGCAAGTAGCATGGTGGCTCATGCTTGCCTTCTTGAAGGGGGAATTCACAATCAAAGTTCAGTGCATCAAAAATAAAATTAAAAATAAAAGCAAATTAAAATCAGGAGGAGCTGGAGGCAACTAGGTGAACAGAAAGTATCTGTTTATAAAAGCTAGCCTGCAGGCTAACCAGGGTTTTTTTGCACCCTCAGAGGCCTACACTCACCCTAGTGTACTTCCTAGTCACCCTTCTGTCCGCCAGCCTGCAGGAGACCAAAGCCCTGAGTGGAGGACACAACACTTAGCAAAGGAGCCTGGCAAAAGGAACAGCATGCTTTGCTGGCATTGGAACAGCCTCAAGGCAGTCCAAAGCAGCACCAGAACTCAAATTACTGGTTGGTTTAAAAAGCCAACTGCACACAGGCCTGCAAACCACACAGTTGGGACGTTCTTTATTGCCCACAGGGAGAGACAACTCCTCATTCCTCATGGAAGTGCCTTTGCCAAAATACTGGCAGTGACAGGCCTCTTGTTCTTTGCAGGGCGGGGAGGAAGGGCCACCATTTCTTTCATACATGTTTTACCAGTGCTTTACTGAGAGCAGAGGGGGTCTACAGGTCAGCAAGAGGATGCATCAACAGCATGTGGTCCCTCAGCTGCTTTGGTAGGGCAAATAGTCACCAATGTGGAAAAAGCAGCTTGGACCCACTTCAGTTTTGGCCAGAACTTGAGAAGAAACAGAACAGCTCCCCTGCACAATATTCAGAGCCATCTACTTGTAAGCTCACCTCCCGTTCACTCCCAAGCTTTGCCTCCTCCAGTTTCCATTGACCAACAACAGACCCTGCCAACTTGTGCGCTGCTTCTCTAGCCAGGGTTGTGGTTCTGCACTGATCAAGCCTGCATATAATTTTCTCTGGTGCAAGGAGCTGCACCTGCTAAGTTAAATTTATACCAAACTATAGAGAATTAATACATGGGTATATGGAGACAATTTGTTTGTGAAGACATGGAAGCATGCCAAGCTCAGAGAGCACAGCCTACTTGCAGGATGACATTCGACTGTGTGCTGAGAATGAGCACAAAACCTATGTGTGATGCTGGGCCTTAGAGGTGAGACCTCTACAACACGCCATCCTTGTTCTGGCTTCTTCGGGTGGGGCACAGGGCACCCATGCACCTATATACCTACAAGTGAAAATTTCCATGTCTTGCTACATAGAGCTTATTCAAATTGTAGATATGGGCGTGGAGAGAAAGAAGAAAGAATTTATACAACTGCTATAGATTCTAGGAGAACTATAGCTTTCTTTAAGGCACAGTTCAGACAACCCCTAAATCAGTTTCCTCCTCACTACCAACCTATGTTTAAAAACAAGCCAAGAACAACAACAACAAAAAGGGGCAATTTTGACTGCTTTTGGCCAAGCAGCAAGCACGTATTATCTTCTGATTTACGTGGAAGACCTGGCAAAAGTGCCATGGAAGCCAGAAGTGAAGGTAAACATGCGACAGAAGACAACTTTGAGCCCAGCACAGAAGTGCATGGAGAAGTCTGTTGACACACAAATACCATGCTGAGATTCACAGCTTTGTGCCTTCGCCCCAGATGCGGCTCCAGGGCCAAATGAGACACGGAGGGTTTCAAAGCCCTCTGGCATTTGAAAGGAAAGTCTGGTAACCTTTCCAGTGGGCATAGTTGGGACAGGATTTCTTCTGATAACTAATATAGTCAAAGTCGAGATCTCTTTTCACTAAAGCCCTGGGTTTTGGGGTTTTTTTTGTTTGGGTTTTTTTTTTAACTAAGTCAGATGTTCCCATGATTTCCTCCGAAGATCTCCAGCATCCCAACCTTCCTGTGTCTTCTCTCCCACATCCACTTTCCTCCCTGAAGATTTGGGTAATAGTGTTGAGTACCAAGAGTGAAAGCAACTTGGTCTCAGAAGTACCATGAGGCATACACACGTTTACAAATTAACCCCAGGCTGCTGGCTGAGGATCAGTCACTTACATGGAGAGGGGAAATCCCTGTCACAGCAGCTTCAAGAAGTCTAAGAAATCCCTGGCACGGAGCACACCAAATCTGTGCCAGCAACTCTACTCATCACCTGTGCCGGCCTTTGTCCAACAGGATACCATCACACAGGATCTGTCAGTGCCCAGCCAAGTGCCTTGATAAGCAGAAGTGCTGGAGACCCCGACAAGAATACATACTTGCGCCCCAAAGCTAGCATTTCCTAATGAGTTAACACCCTCCACTGGGTAGTGTAGGCCTTTGACAAGGCCAGAGACAGCTGCCAGGAACGATGCAGGGCTGCTTCAACATGCTGTTGCCCAGCTCTGCCACCAAGACATCTCTGCTCCTTCCCACACAGCCAGGAAAGCACAAGCCTGGAGAGTTCTGGCACACACGGAGCTCCACAAACCTTGCTGAATGTTTGAACAGGAGCAAAGCAAGCTGCCAGCCCCTTGGCCTCGTACATGCAGAAGGTCAGGACAAAAGGGTGTTACAGGCCTTGGCTCCAGGAGTCACCACGGGTACTCTGGCAGCAGACATTACCTGGGCCGTACTCTTATATACAGTGCCAGGGTAGAGCCTTGTCCTGTGCCTTCTGCATACCCCCCCCCGGTTGGATCACCTCCAGGAGATCGGCTCTGGAGAAGACCAGGACAGAAGTTGTGGAGCCTCCCCAGTCCCATCAGTCCCTGAAGAATCCAAGCTGGGCTCAGCCCCATCCCGTCCCCCCCCCCATGAGCAGGGTTAGGGGTAGTGCGCTTGGATGAAAGACAGGACGTGCTCCTTTGATAGCTTCTCTGGATCTTGCCTTTTCTGAGAGTCGTGCACTTTGACACCTTCCCCCCACTCCCAGAAGAGGCGGCTGTAATGGCAAATGCTGTGGGCAGAGAGGAGAGCAAGATTAGTTTGGCAGGGGAGGGGAAAGAAAACACTGTCATCCTAGCCACAAAGCACACCACAGAGCCAGCTGCTTGCAACGGGAGCCACGCAGAGGTATTGTATCTGAGGACTGCCTTAGAAAGAGGCCAGTGCGTTCATTCACCTTGCAAACTCCACAGCCCTTAAGGTACAGCAACTTCCAAGCCTAAGAGATTTCCATGGAAACAAACTTGTTAATTCTATCTTCACTCAAGATTCAGTTCAGTGTTCACTGGAAAGAGACAGGTCATTAGGGAAAACCTACCTTCCCCCAAGTTTTTGAGAGGCTGAAACTGTCATTGCAGGCAATGGAAAGGCCGTAATGAAGAATTTAGAAAGTCTGCCAGCAACAGCAAGCAGCAATCTAATCACTCACCACAAACCTACTACAATCGGTAATAGCTGTCCTACAGAGCTTTGCAAATGAACAGCACTTCACACTGCACAAAAGCGGCTAGGATCATCCCCTCTTTCCTCTCCCATGAAATAACCAAGCTCCACTTGGCTGCCGAGAGTTTTGGTCCTACAATGCCATCTCTCACTCTGTCCATCAAGCACAGCCCTCCCTCGCTGCATCAACACAGTCCCAGCCATAATGAAAACAGAGCTGCTAATTACTGCCAACACAGCAGCCTTTAGTTTTGTAGAATTACTGACACTTAATATTCATAGCTTATTTAGTGCTCCTGTTCTAACAAAGCAGTACTAGCACAGTGACAAGAGCACATGTCAATGGCTAATTATAGATGCATTAGTACTCACTAGCCACAACACAACACATCCCTTCTGGAGTCCCACACAAGCGCTTACTCCACCTCCTCAGCCATTTGTGCAGGTTCATGCTGGCCTGCTTCTCAGTACATAGGCAGAACTAACTCCATCCTGACACATGGAGGAAAAAAGCACCGTGTGCCTCTGCTTTTTAGCCTGTTCTTCCATTCAGCTGGTTAAAGAAAGCTTAAGGATTCTTAAGAACACTGCTGTAAAGTAGGTAAGGAGAGTCGAAGTGAGAAAAATCAAGAGCCCTATTTCATATCAAGCTCTCATTCAGAGGCACAGTCCTGGGTAGTAGTGGTGAAGGGCATCTCTTGAGACTACCTGAGAACATCTGTGTGCAGAACATCTCCACCCGTGAGCCTTGAGGTGTCACACAGACTCAGGATTTGCTGTACTTAAGATGTGGCCTTAGCCGAGTACTCGATAGATACAGCTGGGCTTCAGCAGCCACAGTGTTAATGGCTGCCCAATGACAAGTCACTCCACCCTTTCCCAAGGAGCTGCTGCTTTTCTCTCTCACTCTTTAAACAGCTCTCAGCTACCTACAGCTTATTCCAGAGTCTGAGCTAAATGAACTGGGGTTTACTTTTACATTAGCAACTTCCAACCAAGCATCTTAAAATACAGAGATACAGCAAATTACAGTTGCTGGGCTCAATTTCCATTTCCCAGTGTGCAGGGAGGTTCAGTAACTTGTACCAGCTGCAGACAGGGGAACAAAGTTGTGAGATGTGTGTTATTCCATGATTCATAGCAATTAATTTCAAAATCCATGAATCCAGATCAGCAGTTTCCTCAAAATCTGAGAAGGTGCCAGCTTCTGCAGCACACCCTGCTGGTGACCAAGCTGTGTTTGCACTGCAAACGACTATAAGAACCATGGCACAGCACGCATGAACTCCCTTCCAAATACCCAGACACACACAGAGACACACAAACTTGCACACAGCTATCCTTCCATAGCCTTAGCTCCGACTTGTACTCACTGAAAGGGTGCAATGGATTCAGAAGGGAGGTCATATGTCGCTTTCTTGGTCATTTTGTTGAAGAAGAATTTCCTCTTGGAATTTTTGCTGTATGCCATTGTCCAAGGATCTTGTAAGAATCACAGGGATCAGAAAATGGAAAGGAGGGGGGAAAGAAAAAGCACAGTATAAATACACATACAATGCAAGCAGGGAGGAGGAATCTGCAAGAACAATTGTGATCCTTCTCTTACTCCTTTTTCCTTCCCTCCCCCAAGGTGACTTGATTCCCAAGCTGTTCTTTATTCACTGAGAAGATTCCCTTCTCCCTGCATTTAAAAGTTGACATTCCAAATAGGATATTTCCATGTATTATTATTCTGGAAAATACCTTCTTGATGAAAAATTATCATTGAAAAAGAAAGTCATCAGTCATATAAATAAATGGAATTACCCACACAATAGCTAGTCAACCTGCAACAGAAAAACCTATCATATAAATACCCTAAACCTTATCCAAATCCAAGCTACCCTCATTACAAGCAAACAATCTCTAGCCATTGGAATACTCCCATTAATTTTTTACCAGGTGACAACAGGAGCAAGCCTGGTCAATACTTTTTACTTAAAGACACAAAGAGAAGTTACATAAAAGCAGGGACTCATCCTACCATTCACAGTCCGTACGATGTAGAGTCCTGTGGGCACAAAGTGCCGGTCATCTCGGCCAGTGTAGGACAGCCGGGGTACTCCCCCTGAACTCTTGATGATTTTCATCTCCAACCTAAATGTTGAGAGAAGGCAGTGATAGAGATTCCCTGTTTCTTCCTTTACCATCCTCTTGTGCACAACATGCCACCTATTCAGAGTGTCACAGGGAAAACTGACAGCACCACACATGACAGGGCAAAATCATCACATCCTGGAGAATTCAGTCCCTTGCATCCCCAACGTGGCTAGCGAAACCAGCCAGAGCTGGCAAGATCAAGTAGCTAATCAAGTGTTACAATGAAGGATCTGTGATGATCTACCACACTTAATGATCCAAACAGGGTTCCCATTTTAGGTATGAACTCTTAATCTTTCAAGCCATTGACACTTCTGCACACAAACTCAAGCACTGCTGCTACTCCTACTCTTGTAAAGTGCATTGGCCACATCTATGGCATTAGAATTCAGCAGGATGATGCTCTGAGTCAGCAGAAACAGCAGCCACCAGCTGCACGACCTCTAACAGCTCTTTCTCCAGGACTCCTCAAGCATAGATCAGCACATCTCTCCCATTCCTGTGCATTGGTGGCTGATAACCTCAATGGGCCCTGAAGTCTTTCATTTGTGCTGGTCACTTACCTCACAAAAATCTTCTCCATTTCCTCCAATCTGTATACTTCCTTCACTCTGGGGAAAAAACAACAAAAATGTGATTAAAAAAATTAAATTGTCTTTTTTTTCTGTCCTAGCTACAGGGAGCAGCCAAACAGTTCATTTTGTACAGCAGGAGGTGGTCAGGCATGACTGAGGTTCAGCCTTCTCCTCAGGCTTATGCTCCAGTGCCTTACTGCTCCTGGCTTGAGAAAACTTGAGACCTGGATGCTTATGGCTGGGTTGCTGTAAGCAGCAAACAAATGTCCTCGCTGCTAAGGAAGCTGTACATTTTTACCTCAGGCTGAGTATACAGAAAAGGAAGAACAACAGAAGTTGTGTGCTTTTGTGTTCCCACAAGGTAAATTCACCGAGGTCAGCCCAAGGCAAGTTCTGGCCTCAGCATGCTGGCCTCCCAGTAAAACTAAACTGTCTGATCTTCACAGTTATCCTCCTCAGGGACACCACAAACTCGTTAGTTACCCTGAGGTAAAAACAGCTTTGGTTTGTTTTTTTTTTAAAAAATCAGTACAGATGATTTGGAGTCATCATTATGTCAAACTGCTTTTGTTTTTGTTGTTCTGAGACACAGAAAGACAAGTCGGAAAGTTTCAGAAACCTTGCCTCTGATCTGACACCCCAACCAGCCATTTCCCACACACTGCTACGTGCATCAGGCTCCAAAGAGCACCATTTGAACACCTTCTCACAAGAGTAGCAAAGGACCCCTCTACAATCCATTTCTACAGCTCTCCTTCTCACTTCACCTTCAACCCTCTCCAACGTTTTGAGCTCCTCCAGTTATTGCAACTGTCTTGAATTTAACCGAGATCCCACTCACTGTGTTTCATTAAGCCACTAAAGAATTTCCCTTCCTCCAGCTGCTTTCACAATATCATGGCACTTCTAGCTTCTGAAACAGAAGCTGTTTTGTCCATAATACCTATCTGATACCCAGCACAACGCTGCGCTTACACTCCACTGTAGCAGAATTAATTAAATGGAAGGTCAGGAGACAACCAAAGCTGAAGCCCTTTGTCAGGAACTTTCTTGGGATTGTAACTAAAGCCTTCTCCTCAGGCTAACCATTTGGAGATTGTAAACCCTGGTCAGCACTTCATTTATCTACTAACAGTCAGCATCTCTGTACCACTGCTGACCCTTCAGGGCGGACAAGGACATAGAAGTCTTTGCAATCATTAAACTAACTGGGTGCTAGACTTACTATAGCACATATTTGAAATCAGCACCAGCCAATCCACCCGTGATGAAAACATGACTGTCTGATATGTGAAAGGAGGACACAACTTCTCCACTATCAACCTTTATCTTAGATATTTAAAGGCCTTGTAGTCTCTTTCCATTGAATGTAACAGAGCTACAAATTTCAGCTTGAAATTTAACTCTCCTTCAGCTCCTTATCTTCATCCTCCAACACACTGAAACCAAAGCACACCAGGCTGAGGGAAGGAGCCGTCACTCACCGGATGGGGTTCATATCTGGCCGGCTAGGTTTAGAAACAGCTTTGACAAACTTCTCCGCCAGCTGAATCCTGAATGAAAATGGAAGGAGAAACCAGCAATTTATCAAGATCTTTGGCACAGCAGGTAGGTAACAGTTTCAGCAGAGTAACTGATTAGACACATCAGTACATGCAGACTGCCTCCACTGCTAGCCAAATGGGCACTGAGCAAAGACTTTTTTCACTCTGCCCTGCCAGTTCAGTGCCCAGTGATAGTGGCTATTATCCATTAGGAACAGGCCTCCATAGCTTCCCCTACAAGCCCAGATGCTGCTGAATACACTGATGTATCAGGAGGAAAGTAGGACTAGTAGAGACATCATGTCCCTGAGGAAGGGAACAGAGGGGCTGGTTCCTTCTCCCTCAGGCAGTTATCAGCTAGGGTCATTCATATTCCCAAGGTGCTCAGTTTACCCAGACTGTGCCTGGCTCATCTCAGCCTAAGGAAGGAGCTAGGCCTGCCCACATACACTGAGAAGGTACAGCTGGAAAAGGCTATGTGCACTTCGGAGTGGGTTCATTCACAGTCCACCTTTATAGCAGTTTCAGCTGAATGCACTTGTCTCCCTGTGCCCAAGCATTCTGCTCTGAGCATGAACACTGCTTCCCAGTCACTCCTACTCACGTACAAGAAAGAAGCTTCTCCAGATCCTACATACCTCTGGTTGAAATGCTGTTTTCGAACATCATTGCCATTCAGCACCAAGACATCAAGGATGTGGATGGCACTGATTTTTCGCTGGGCTTTCCCCTAGGGAGGGCAATACAGAGACTTACTAATCAGCTGTTGTTATTTCAGCTTTGATTTATAGCCTTTTTTTTTTTGAAAGGCTATCATTCTCTTCTAGCAAGAAAGCACGTTTCCAGATATTAAAAGCACACAAATTCCCTGCTGTCCATTGTACAGTAACGTGCCATCCTCCAAGAACCGGTGTATCTCAGCTACACAGTTCTGTCTCAGGGGAGGGAGAGAAGGCAGGACTGCAGCTGCCATCACCAGCACTCTGTGCCTTATCAGGTATCACAGCACAAAGCCCAGTGCACTACAGCATCCTCATCTCAGGTGCCAGAGAGCAAACAAACTCCCAGGCAACAATACATTGTGAATATATACCATGAGAATCTTTTCCCCAAGGCCTGCAATCACTGCTGAGCAGTTATGTACCCAAAGAGCCACAGAACACATTAAGTCATGTTGGCAACACCATCAGCTGTTGCACGTAGGACAACAGTAGCATGTCAGATCGAAAGTGTTTTCAAAATAATATTAAAAGCTCGTACCTCTAGCACTGGACAGAAAAAAAAGAGGAACTTAATCCAAAATAGTTTTTCTAAAGATCACATACAAAAAAAGTTGAACCTGGCACAGATGGAACATTTATTCTGCAGTATCTTACAGAGAATAGGCAAAACTGTTCATTTGTAGCCACTAGGTAAGGGAGAGAACAGCCTCCTACCTCTCCTTTCAGCTCATGAACAATCTCCACTGAGAGAAGAGTATCTCGTGGCAGCTCAGTTTTCAAATCCAGTTTTGTCCAGCGATCTGACTGGCGACCATCCCAGGTGTAGATCTGGGATTTCTGTGTGTAGAAGGCAGAGTCAGATTCAGCCAAAGTTTCATGAGGGCAGGGGTGGAGGAGAGACCTCTGACTAACTGCAGAGCAGCCCTCAGAGAATCTTTTTGTCCTAGGCTGTCACAGGCAATTTCTTTGTCAGAAGTTTTAAAAAAGAACCTTAATCTCTACAGCAAAGGAACAAAAACACGAGTTCTCATCTGACAGTGACTTTTCAAACCTGCACAAAGAACTAGAAATAGAACACCTTTAAAAGGACAGTGAAGATAATTAGAGACACTAGCAAGAGTACAGGTGTCTGTGTAAGCTGCGACTACAAAAAGAGGGTTAATTAGTGTGAAAAGCAGTGAAGTCAGGAAAAACATACATAAAGTAAGCAGCAGTCTCAGGGACTGCTGATGGGGATCCTCTCTAGTCTTTAAGGACAGGAAAGGGTGGGATGAAACTGCAAGGCAGAACAGTAGCATTGAAACGAACCAGCAAAACTCCCGGACTGTTCTCAGCACTTACCCCGAGCCCCAAGAGGAACTTCTGCTCACTTCCAGACACCATACACCGGTAATCTAACACTTGGCGAATTTTCTCCAGGGTACTGGAATTCAGAGGAGTGGGTTTGTAACTGAAGGTGTCGATGTCCGTGCCCTATAGAGCAACATATGGACAAGGCAAATTAGACACAATACATCAACAAGTAGGTAACTGCAACTTCTACGTAAAAGGATAATCAAGGAGTAGCTTCTTCATCTCTTAATCCCTACAGGAAAAGGATTCAAACAAGCTTCTGAGTAAGGCCTCACCTGGATCAGCTCAAAGAACTTGGACTTGGGATCTGAAGATGAAGGAGCAACACGAGCCTGATCAGGAATCTAAAACAAATCCAAATGATTGATAATAAGTGTTATTCTTTGGCACGTTCATAAGAACCTTTCTGGTTTCAATACATGACAGAACCATCCTGCCCCCTGGAACTCCTGCTCTTGGGATTCCAGTTGCTGAAGATCACCCGGCAAATAAAAGGTCGCATGTGTTTTGCAAATTTAACATAGGCATACCACATCTCACAGGAAACAGGAAACTTCAGAAAGTTTCAGGCTAAATCTTTGATTTCATGTGTGTTTCGATGAAATACTGTTTCATCGAAGACACAATTATCCTGTGAAACCAATTGCCCTATCTATGGCCCCACTGCAGTCAAAAGCTCAGGGAAGAAACTACAGACTCATAAAACAAGACCTTTTAGAGAGCTCTGCTGCTTGGGAACTCAGCAAAGAAGCCTGCTCAGTTAAGCCACACACAAAGAATCAGAAACATCCTGTTTGCCTACATAAACAGCTTGAAATGGTCTCTGACTTTCCCACAAGACAATGTATTAAATCTCTGTCTAGAAAGTCCTATCTGTACTGCAGCTCCATTCTTGTTTCACCACAGCAAGGACACGTTCACGACCTCCCTGCTTGGCAGCTCACTTACCCCCCATAGCTGGAGACACTCCTTTCGGATTTCAGCCTGCCGTGGTTCAATCAGTGTCCTAGAGAAAGACAGCAGACTTAGGATAGTGAAACCTCCTTGCTCTTGCAGCATTACATATCCCAGCTCTATAAAACTTGCATCTTTCAGTGTCTGGCTTGAGAATGAAAAACATGCACAATTCCTCAACAGGTTACAAATAGCAAAGAAAATCTGCTGAAGGCCACACAAAAAACAGTGTCAACGTTAGCGTTAACTCTTAGATAGATCCTGGCTACCAGACTCACTCAATTTTCTATTACGTATTATCTCCGAATGGCACCTGAAAAGTCATGCCAGGGACACAGCTATACACTGCAACGGCTTTAGTTTTACGCAAGAAATTCACGTCACAAGATTTAGGTAATTGTAGGTGCTTTTAATTGCCCCCAGAAAATGAAGACTTACACAGTTACTGTAGAATTGAACATACCAGCTGTG